GTGAGATATTCGGCGAGTCGCATGAAGGGTGCGCTGCATCCTGCTAAAGGTGTTCGGCATCTTGTGCTTACTTCCTTGCGTACGGATGACAGCTGCGTATGACTTGAATTATTTTCTGGTGCTTTCACTTCCAGAGACAGCAATAAGCACTGTGTAACTGCCTCGAGGGTGCTTGACCAATTTAACACAACGTGGTGCGATTATCCCCTTTGCGCGGAGTGAGGGTTCTCGACCCCGCGTAGCATAATATACTCGACAACCATTCATGGTTACCGCAAAAAAAAAAACGAAGGCAAAAAAAAAGCGGTAACTTGGTTGCCGAGCTCACGACGTGATCGGCTTGTTTTACGACATCGCTGCCTAGCGACGAAAACCCAACCCCGACGGCAAACACCGGGAGGGGCGGCTTGTTTTACAACGTTGTTACCAAGCGACGAAAACCCAACCCCGATGGCAAACATCGGGGGGAGGGGGGGGGGGGGGGGGGGGCGACCCGGGGGCGAAGGGGATATGCAGTATGACAGGGAAACTCACTCGACACGTCCTTTGTCTCTTGTATCCGTTCAACAGCTCTCTTCAGCGATTTCTTTGTGTCCTTGGGTGTGACGGGGTGTGGGAGTGTTCCACGGCACCAGCACCAGCACCAGCAACAGAAGTGCCGTACCTTTCGAAACGAACGCACCCCTCTTGACTAGTTTTCAAAGTCCTGTACGAACGCTGCACAATCGGAGCGGTACCTTTTCCGAAGAGGGCGGTTTTGGAAAGATAGCTTTCGAAAGATAGCTTTCCATACGACAGATAAACCGGTCGGCTTTCGCGACCCTCTTGGGTGTGGGGCAACCAGGCTCTGAAAATCGGTCAATGGAGGCGCGATATTTACGATCATTACGGCAGTTCATCTACGCACTGCTTGGCGCTTGGCCATGAGGTACATTATCCCCGCCGAGAAACGTTAGCTGGAGCTTCATTCGCAAGACCTACGAAAGCAGCGCAGCAGTGCCGCATCAACGACATAAGGATATGCGTGGAAGTTCGCCCGCCAGGGGGGGGGGGGGGGGGGGGGGGGGGGGGGGGGGGTTGCTGACACGAGGCATTTCCGTCGTTGTGGCCTCCTCCTGCTCACCTGTGAGGTGGTTGTCGTTCAGGAAGACAAGCCGCAAGCGTGTGAGCCTCCCAATACCCTTCGGAATAGGGCCTGCCGATAATCCGGATCGCAAAAGTAGTGCTTTCAAGAGGTGGTACATACGGTATAGACATTCCCGGGATAGTTATGCAGCAGACGCAGAAGGACACATCCGTACCTACATTTGGGTACACTCGAAACTGGAGGTGTGGTGCTTGAACTAATCTGCAACAATAAGCGCATCTATATATGGTTCGCAAATACGGCGCACAAGTAAAAGTATTTAATGTAAGCATGGCGTGTCTTTGTTACACCTTTCATGGCGCACACCTGCTTCATGCGACACCTGGCCTACGGGTGTCCAGTCAAACACAAAGATCACCGCGATCACAGAAGTTTCCCCGGCAACATATTACTTAGCAGCCGCAGGGGGGCAGCGCGAAGACGAACAAGAACTCGGTGCAGATGCAAAGAGTGAAAATTACGTCCATTATAATGGTGTGCTGCTGTTGCCTTAAGCGGTTACAACACTACTGGACCGTACCCTTCTATTTCAAGGCACACGGCACGCACATCCTTGGCCACTAATTTAGCTGGCCAAAACAAATACCAGGCATGCCAACCAACTAAGGCAAGTTACGTCCACACATACTATCGCCGCTCGCGAAACCAGTGACATTCCTGAAGACAACCATTTTCCCGGGGTACACTAGCAACACGTGCGCCGACAAAACTGAACAGAGAGGCAGCTACAACTAGGAGCATACCTCAAAGTTGCGCTACGACCGGAGTAAGCCAGTACTGCAACCCGTTTGCGTCCCAAGTGAAAGCAGAGCACGAAACAAACGTGTTCCGTATCTCTAAAAGCACCGACCGCTAAAACCCAAAGCCTGAAAGGACAACTAGCAAGGTTTGTCTCTTGTACTCAGGGGGGCTATTGCACCTCACCCACGAGGCGGTTTTGGCCTAGGAAGAGCTTCTCCAGCAGCGAGAGGTTCCCAATCTCCTGGGGGATAGGGCCTGCAGGAAGGAAGGAAAGCCGATAAGTACAACAAGACCAGGGGGGGCGGGGGGAG